GGAGAATCACTTGAACCTGGGAGGTGGATGTTGCAGTGAACCATGATCGCACCACTGCACTCCAGTTTGGGTGACAGTTAGATTCCGTTCCCCACCCCCCCCCCCCAAAAAAATTAGCCAGGCATGGTGGCACATATCTGTAGTCCCTGCTACTCAAGAGGCTGAGGCATGAGTATCTCTTTAGGTAGGAGAATCGTGCCACTACCTGGGTGATGAAGCATTACTCGGTCTCAAAAATAGATAAAAAAAGAAATAGCTTAAACTGGAAATCTTAAGACATAGAAATGTATTTCTCATGAATCTGGAGAGCGGGAAATCCAAGAGCAAGATGTCGTTAGATTGGTTCCTGGTGAGAGCCTTCTTCATGGTTTAGCCCAGCCATCTTCCTGCTGTGTCCTGACATGATGGAAAGAGGAACAGGCAATCAGCTCTTTACTCTCTTTTTATAAAAGCATTAGTCCTGGCCGGGCGTGGTGGCTCACGCCTGTATTCCCAGCATTTGGGAGGCTGAGATGGCCAAATCACATGAGGTCGGGAGTTTGAGACCAGCCTGACCAACATAGAGATACACCGTCTCTACTAAAAATACAAAATTAGCCGGGAGCGATGGTGCATGCATTTAATCCCAGCTACTCGGATGGCTGAGGTGGGAGAATCGCTTGAACCTGGGAGGCAGAGGTTGCAGTGATCCTAGATCACACTATTGCACTGCAGCCTGGGCAATAAGAGCGAAACTCTTTTTCAAAAATAAATGAAAGAAAACATACAATTAAAAGCCCTAGTCCTAGTCACAATTAGTCAACATCCATGACCAAATTCTCTAAAAGGCCCCATCTACAGGAACATCCTATTGGAGAATAAGAAACCTGATAATGGCTTTTAGCTAAGACGAACATTCAGGCCAGGGAACATACATCATATTTTTTGTTTTTATTGTGCAATTTGTTTTATACAATGTTTTCTCTGATCTCAGTTTATAAATTTTCCCGGTACACAGTCTGTATATTTTATGCATAGTGAACTAGATAACCATGGGGAATACATATATAGAAAATTGCTGTGTTGCCTGGCTATTATGGAACTAGAGTTGTGACATCATAATTGCACTTTTCTGCACTATTAGTCAATTATTTATCTATTTGTTTGTTTGTTTGTTTGAGACGGAGTCTTGCCCTGTCACCCAGGCTGTAATGCAATGGCGAGATCTCAGCTCACTGCAACCTCCGCCTCATGAGTCCAAATGATTCTTTTGACTTATCCTCCAGAGTAGCTGAGATTACAGGCGCCCACCACCACACCCAGCTGTTTCTTTTTGTATTCTTAGTAGAGATGGGGTTTTCCCATGTTGGCCTAACTGTTCTCGATCTCCTGACCGCGTGATCCGCCTGCCTCAGCCACCCAAAGTGCTGGGATTACAGGTGTGAGCCACCGTGCTCAGCCATTAGTCAATTCTTATTTGTTAAAATGCTGTGTATTTTCTTGACCTCATACCTCAGAAGGTAGTGATCTTATCATGTATTTCTTTTCTTATGTTGTGTGCTGATGCTTAAGTAGAAATTGTGGCTTTTTTCTTAAGAGGGAATTGTTTAGAATTCTGCAGGCCATATAAATGTACTCATTTGCTTGCTGGTTTTATCATGGGTTACAACATCTTATTTTTATAATTTTACATACGGCTTTACAGTATGTGGTATACAATATAACTGACACACTACACTCGTTAATGTCACAAAGTGTCACCGGGTGCAGTGGCTCACACCTGTAATCCCAGAACTTTGGGAGGCCAGGGTGAGTGGATTACTTGAGGTCAGGAGTTTGAGACCAGACTGGCCAAGATGGTGAAACCCCATCTCTACTAAAAACACAAAAATTACACAGGCATAGTGGTGCGTGCCTGTAATCCCAGGTACGCAGGAGGCTGAGGCAGGAGAATCACTTCAACCCAGGTGGCAGAGGTTGCAGTGAGCTGAGATCATGCCATGGCACTCCAAGCTGGAGTGCAAGACTCCATCTCAAAAAAATAAAACTACAAAAAAATTTTCAAAAGTCACTGAGTGCCTGTTCTGTGTGGATATAAGTAATTTTATGACATTTATTCAGAATACATTGTAATAATTTTTTCTTTTTTTTCTTTTATTTTTGAGGCAGAGTCTCACTTTGTCTCCCTGGCTGGAGGGTAGTAGTGCGATCTTGGCTCACTGCAACCTCTGCTTCTCATGTTCAAGAGATTCTTGTGCCTCAGCCTCCCGAGTAGCTGTGACTACAGGCACGGGCCACCACACCTGGCTAATTTTTGTAATCTTTTATTATATTCTCTGTGCTATAATTGTTTGACAATACGGAATTTATGTTGCTTTTGGTTATCCTTACATGAGGTTGTTGTGGATTATTTACCAATATTGTATATTGTGTGGGTTTTTGTTTTTTAGCATTTGTACACAGTAAATATGCTGTAAATATGAAGAATATATATTTTTCTCTTCATTGATGTGACAGTGATATGTTTTTTGCAAATTGTGATACACTTTAGGGTCACAGTGGAAAAACACTCCTTACTTTCGGCTTACTCATGTTTGTGCCCTGTCAGTGTTTTGTCATGATATAGGAAATAGGTTTTCATGGAATTAATTTCAAGGATATGTAAATGCCCTTTGTTTATTAAAGAATCTTACTCCTTTTGTGTTCCTATACTTTGAAGATCATGTTTGGGAAGTTCAAAATAAGTATTGTTTTTTGTCTCATATTTACACACTTCAGTATGATTTACCATCTGGACTTAATTGGAAACCTATTGGTGTTTATATTTTACAGATATCTCTTCCAAATGCATGATGAAGGAGTTCTCATCAACAGGGCAGTGCAATACAGAAGTGTTCCACACCGGGACATTGCAAAGACATGAAAGTCATCACATTAGAGATTTTTGCTTCCAGGACATTGAGAAACAAATTCAGGACATTGAGTTTCAGTGTCAAGAAGATGAAAGAAATGGCCATGAAGGACCCATGACAAAAATAAAAATGTTCACTGGTAGTACAGAGCGACATGATCAAAAACATGCTGGAAACAAGCCTATTAAAGATCAGCTTGGATCAAGCTTTCATTCACATCTGCCTGAACTGCACATATTTCAGATCAAAGGTAAAATGGGTAATCAACTTGAAAAGTCTACCGATGATGTTCCCTCAGTTTCAACATCCCAAAGAATTTCTTGTAGACCCCAAATCCGTATTTCTAATAACTGTGAGAATAATTCCCCAAATTCTTCATTACTCACAGAAGAACAGGAAGTACACATGACAAAAACATCTTTCCAGTGTAATGAGAGTGGCAAAGCCTTTAATTGTAGCTCACTCTTAAGGAAACACCAGACAATCCATTTAGGAGACAAAATATATAAACGTGATGTATGTGGCAAGGTGTTTAATCACAAGCAGAACCTTGCATGCCATCAGAAATGCCACACGGGTGAGAAACCTTACAAGTGTAATGAGTGTGGCAAGTCCTTCAGTCAGGTGTCATCCCTTACATGCCATCGTAGACTTCATACTGGAGTAAAACCTTACAAGTGTAATGAGTGTGGCAAGCTCTTTGTTCAAAATTCAGCCCTTGTAATTCATAAGGCAATTCATACTGGAGAGAAACCTTACAAGTGTAATGAATGTGACAAGGCTTTTAATCAACAATCAAACTTTGCACGTCATCATAGAATTCATACTGGAGAGAAACCTTACAAATGTGAAGAATGTGACAAAGTTTTCAATCGCAAATCAACGCTTGAGACACATAAGAGAATTCACACTGGAGAGAAACCATACAAATGTAAGGTTTGTGACACAGCTTTCACGTGGAATTCACAACTGGCTCGACATACCAGAATTCACACTGGAGAGAAAACTTACAAGTGTAATGAGTGTGGCAAGACTTTCAGTCACAAGTCCTCCCTTGTATGCCATCATAGACTTCATGGTGGAGAGAAATCTTACAAATGTGAGGTTTGTGACAAGGCTTTCGCATGGAATTCACACCTGGTAAGACATACTAGAATTCACAGTGGAGAAAAACCTTACAAGTGTCGTGAATGTGGCAAGACCTTTCGTCAAAATTCAGATCTTTTAGTTCATAAATCAATTCATACTGGAGAGCAACCTTACAAATATGAAGAATGTGAAAAAGTTTTCAGTCGCCAATCAAGCCTTGAGACACATAAGGTAATTCATACTGGAGAGAAACCATACAAATGTAAGGTTTGTCACAAGGCTTTTGCATCTCATTCCTATCTGGCAAAACATACTAGAATTCATAGTGGAGAGAAGCCTTACAAGTGTAATGAGTGCGGCAAGACCTTCCGTCTGAAGTCATACCTTGTATGCCATCGTAGAGTTCATAGTGGTGAAAAGCCTTACAAGTGTAATGAGTGCAGCAAGACCTTCAGTCAGAGGTCATACCTTCATTGCCATCGTAGACTTCATAGTGGTGAGAAACCTTACAAGTGTAATGAGTGTGGAAAGACCTTCAGTCACAAGCCATCCCTTGTATACCATCGTAGACTTCATACTGGAGAGAAATCTTACAAATGTACACTTTGTGACAAGGCTTTTGTGCGTAATTCATACCTAGCAAGACATACTAGAATTCACACTGCAGAGAAACCTTACAAGTGTAACAAATGTGGGAAGGCTTTTAATCAACAATCACAACTTTCACTTCATCATAGAATTCATACTGGAGAGAAACTTTACAAATGTGAAGCATGTGACAAACTTTTCAGTCGCAAATCACATCTTAAAAGACATAGGATAATTCATACTGGAGAGAAACCATACAAATATAAGGTTTGTGACAAGACTTTTGGGAGTGATTCACACCTGGCACAACATACTGGAATTCACACTGGAGAGAAACCTTACAAGTGTAGTGAGTGTGGCAAAGCCTTTAGTGAGAAGTCAACAATTATTCCCCATCAGGCAATTCATGGGGTAGGGAAACTGGACTAATGTAATGATTCTCACAAAGTCTTCAGTAATGCTAAAACCATTGTAAATCATTGGAGAATCCATAATGAAGAGAGATCTTACAAGTGTAACAAATGTGGCAAAATTTTCAGACATCGTTCATACATTGCAGTTCATTGGCAAACTCATACTGGAGAGAAACCTTACAAATGTCATGACGGTGGCAAGGTCTTCAGTCAAGCTTCATCCTATGCAAAAACAGGAGAATTCATACAGGAGAGAAACCTCACAAGTGTGATGATTGTGGCAAAGCCTTTACTTCATGTTCACACCTTATTAGACATCAGAGAATCCATACTGGACAGAAATCTTACAAATGTCATAAGTGTGGCAAAGTCTTCAGTCCGAGGTCACTCCTTGCAGAACATCAGAAAATTCATTTTTGAGATAACTGTTCCCAATGCAATGAGTATAGCAAACCGTCAAGCATTAATTGACACTAGAGACAAATCAGCATTGATTTGAGTTTGTATTGACTTAACATTCAGTTCAAGCCTTAATTGACATTAAAGTGTTTATGTTAAGAGGATTGAGCCAGGTGCGGTGGTTCATGCCTGTAATCCTAGCACGTTGGGAAGCCAAGGCACGTAGGTCACTTGAGGTCAGGAGTTTGAAACCAGCATGGCCAACAGATGTGAGCCACTTTTCCCAACCTATTTTCTGTTTCTTATTTTCTATTTTTCTTTTTTGAGATAGTGCTTTTTAAAGAGATAGTACTTTTTTGAGACAGTTTTGAAAAGGGATATACCATAGTACTTTTTAACAGGGATATCAGGCTGGGTACGGAGGCTCACGCCTGTAATCCCAGCACTTTGGGAGGCTGAGGCAGGTGGATCATGAGGTGAAGAGGTCGAGACCAGCCTTGCTAACACGGCGAAACCGCGTCTCTACTGAAAATACAAAAAATTAGCCGGGCGTGGTGGCAGGCGCCTGTAGTCCCAGCTACTCGGGAGGCTGAGACAGGAGAATGGCGTGAACCCAGAAGGCGGAGGTTGCAGTGAGCCGAGGTTGTGCCACTGCACTCCAGCCTGGGCAACAGAGCAAGACTCCGTCTCAAAAAAAAAAAATTTTTTATTTCTGCTCTTGGCTTTAGTGCCACGTTCTTGGAAACCTCTGTGCCGTGAAAGCCAAGTGGAGAATGAAGCGAATGCTCAGCCTGAAGCACAAAAGAAGAAAGATGAGGTACAGCTCCAAGTAAACTGCTAGCTTGTTGCACCGTGGAGGCCACAGGAACAGAAACATGGAGTGCCAGACGCTGGCGATGCTGTTACAAGTTGTGGGACTGCATACTACTATCTAGAGCTTGTCTCAATGGATCTAGAACTTCATCGCCCTGTGATCACCGATCACCTCTGAGACCCACCTTGCTCATAAACAAAACTGCCCATGTTGGTCCTCTGCCCTGGACCTGTGACATTCTGGACTATTTCTGTGTTTATTTGTGGCCGAGTGTAACAACCATATAATAAATCACCACTTCTGCTTTTTTAGCTGGACAATTGAAAAAAAAAATTATTTCTTTCTTAATCCATAATGACTTCTGAAAGATGCCTTTGCAGCATCCTATAATCAGCTCACATCGTTCATTTCTGTACTTGAGTATTTTCCGGTTATTCTCTGTTGACCCTGGAATTCATTAGAATTTTTTTTTTTTTAAACAATTTCAAAATAGTTGCTGTTTGAAATTAGCATCCGGTTCAGTTCAAGGTCTGCATGCTTTCTAGTCTTTGTTATTTATTGGAAGCCTTGGTACCTAATACTTAAGTTTGATTGTTTCAGTGTATACTTGGTATAGATGTCAGTGACCTTTTAACTAAACATCAAAATATAGTTTAATCAGTTAGTCAGTTTTCTTTCTTTTTGTCATTTTTCTTTCTTTCTTTTTGTCATTTCTTAAAATCTTGAGCTGGGAGCTGTTTATTGCGTGTTTCCCTCAAGGCCCTCTGGTCCATTCTGTAAAAATGTCGAAACATGGGCTGCATTGGCGTAGAACACTCCTCCAAAAGAACCCATGTATTCTTTTCTTTTTCTTGAAATGGAGTCTTGCTCTGTCGCCTTGGGTGGAGTGCAGTGGTGCAATCTCAGGTCACTGAAACCTCTGCCTCCCAGGACCAAGGGATTCTCCTGCCTCAGTTTCCTGAGTAGCTAGAATTACAGGCACCCACCAGCAGGCCTGGCTAATTTTTGTATTTTTAATATATTTTGGCCGGGCGCGGTGGCTCAAGCCTGTAATCCCAGCACTTTGGGAGGCCGAGACGGGCGGATCACGAGGTCAGGAGATCGAGACCATCCTGGCTAACACGGTGAAACCCCATCTCTACTAAAAAAATACAAAAAACTAGCCGGGCGAGGTGGTGGGCGCCTGTAGTCCCAGCTACTCGGGAGGCTGAGGCAGGAGAATGGCGTGAACCCGGGAGGCGGAGCTTGCAGTGAGCTGAGATCCGGCCACTGCACTCCAGCCTGGGCGACAGAGCGAGACTCCGTCTCAAAAAAAAAAAATATATATATATATATATATATGTATCTAAACATCACATGATGGACATATTTGTTTTCTGGAAAAACTCCGAGGAAAGCTGCCGCCATAGAGACCCATTGCCATAAAGCATCTCCTTTCTCTGTCACATCCTCCACCCTCCTTACAAACTCAGTGGGCAGCAGCTACTGTCAGTTCTGTGTCAGGCATCAGGGCAAGTCTCGTACACGTGTATTTCTGCATAAAGCAAAATAGTGTTGAAGTGTTGGGACGACGAAAATTTTTGGGGGTGGTATGGAGAGATAATGGGCGATGTTTCTCAGGGCTGCTGCAAGCGGAATTGGGAGGACCCAGGACATCCAATTAGAGAGTGCCCAAGGAGGTTCAGCATAGCCCTGCCAGCAAAGATTATTTATATACTTTAAGAGTTAAGAGTGGCACTTTGGGAATAGCACCAGGAGATATCAGCTGTGATGTCTTGGAGAAATAGTGTAAACCAGCAGTGTAGAGAGCAGGGCATTTATGAGTAGTTGAGATCAGTGAATACAGAAGATAGTAGGGATGACAAAGTTTTGGGGACACAGTCCAAGTTGGTCTGGTGTCTGGAATGAGATTGGGACCTGATAAAAAGGAGTGTTGATACAGGAGCTCAAATGGGCTGTACCCTGTAGCATTCCAAGGACGGGACCTAATTCTGAGAAGGGCAAGTGGTAAAAGTATTGTCCAGTCCTTTTTAAGTTAGTGACCGAGCTTGGTGAGGTGTGTTTTGAAAAGACCATTCGTCCATTCTACCTTTTCTGAAGACTGAGGAAGGTAAGGAGTATGAAGGTTCCACTGAATACCAAGAGCCTGAGCTTGGGTGATTTAACTAATAAAGGCTGGTCCGTTATTGGACTGTATAGAGGTGGGAAGGCCAAACTGAGGAATTATGTCTGACAGAAGGGAAGAAATAACCATGGTGGCCTTCTCAGACCCCGTGGGAAACGCCTCTACCCAGCCAGTGAAAATGTCTACCCAGACCAAGAGGTATTTTAGTTTCCTGACTCAAGGCATGTGAGTAAGTCAATTTGCTAGTCCTAGGCCGGGGCAAATCCCCAAGCTTGATGTGTAGGGAAGGGAGGGGGCCTGAGAAATTCCCAAGGAGTAGTAGAATAGCAGATGGAACACTGAGAAGTGATTTCCTTGAGGATAGAGTTCCATGATGGAAAGGAAATGAGAGGTTCTAAGAGGCAGGCTAGTGGCTTGTAACCTACATGGAAGAGGTTATGAAATGATGACAGAATAGAATGGGCCTGTGAGGCTGGAAGGAGATAATTTCCTTGGTTCAAGAACCATTTGCCTTGTGTGGGAAGAGATTGATAGGTGGAAGTTTCAGTGGGGGAGTGGCCAGATGAGAAGGAGAAAAACTGCTGTAAGAGATAGAAGTTGGAACACTAGCTGCTTTTTTAGCTACCTTATCAGCATAAGTGTTGTCCTGAGTGATGGGATCTGATGCCTTTTGATGACCCTTGGCGTGAATGGCTCCAGCTTCCTTTGTAGGTAAAGGGGCTTTGAGAAGAGTTTTTATTAAAGAGGCATTAATGATGGAGGACCCTTGCATGGTGAGGAAATTTTTTTCTGCCCATATAACAGCATGGTGGTGCAGGATATGGAAGGCATATTTAGAATCAGTATAAATATTGATGCACATTCCTTTTGCAAGAGTGAGGGCTCAAGTTCAGGCAATGAGTTCAGCTTGCTGAGAGGTAGTGGAGGGGGGCAGAGCAGTAGCCTCAATGATAGATACTATAGCATAGCCTGCCTTTGCTGGTGATTGGCGATTGGGCCTAGTGGAACTGCCATCAATACACCAAGTCTGATTAGGATGAGGAACAGGAAAGAAGGAAATATGGGGAAATGGAGTGAACGTCAGGTAGATCAGAGAGATACAGCCATGGGGGTCAGGTGTGGTATCTGGAATAATGTGGGAGGCCGGATTGAAGTCCAGGCCAGGAACAATGGTAATTGTAGGAGACTCTAAGAAACAGTGAGCATAGCTGAAGGAGCCAGGGAGCAGAAAGTATATGCATCAAGTGTGAGGAAGAAAATAGATTTTGGAAGTTATGAGAATTGTAGAGAGTGATTTGAGCAAAGTTTGTGATTTTGAGCCATGGGGGAGGATAGGCCAGACAATTTTGTTGATAAGGAGCAGATCCTGAACTAACCTGTAAGGCTTGTATGGTTTTTGGACAGGTAAAATGGGAGAATTGTAAAGAGAGTTTATAGACTTTAAAATGCCATGCTGTAACTGGTAAGTGATAATAGGCTTTAATCCTTTTAAAGCATGCTGTGGAATGGGATATTGGCATTGAGCGGGGTAAGGGAGATTAGGTTTTAATGAGATGGTAAGGGGTGCATGATTGATTGCCAAGGAAAGAGTAGAGGTATCCCATACTTGTGGGTTAAGGTTGGGGGATATGAGAGCAGGATGCGAAGGAGGCTTTGAACTGGGGAAAATGGTGGCAATGAGGTGCGACTGTAACCTAGGAATTGTCAGTAAAGTAGATAATTTAGTTAAAATGCCTCAACCTAGGCCGGGTGCGGTGGCTCAAGCCTGTAATCCCAGCACTTTGGGAGGCCGAGACCGGCGGATCACGAGGTCAGGAGATCGAGACCATCCTGGCTAACACAGTGAAACCCCGTCTCTACTAAAAAATACAAAAAACTAGCCGGGCGAGGTGGCGGGCGCCTGTAGTCCCAGCTACTCGGGAGGCTGAGGCAGGAGAATGGCGTGAACCCAGGAGGCGGAGCTTGCAGTGAGCTGAGATCGGGCCACTGCACTCCAGCCTGGACGACAGAGTGAGACTCCGTCTCAAAAAAAAAAAAAAAAAAAAAAAAAAAAAATGCCTCAACCTAATAAGGGAACAGGGCAGGTGGGGATAACTAAAAAGGAGTGCTTAAAGGAGTATTGTCCAAGTAGGCACCAGAGTTGGGGAGTTTTAGGAGGTTTAGAAGCCTGGTCATCAATACCTACAAAAGTTATGGAGGCAAGGGAAACAGGCCCTTGAAAA